TGCTGCCTGTCCCATGCCCTGCCGCCCCCACTTTCCAGGCTCTGATGGAATTCCCCGCTTCCAGACCACCCCCTGAGTCACCCCTCCACCAGCTCCCCAGAATCTTTTCCACTGGCAGTACCCAGAAATGCCCTCCCCTCCACAGCATGCATGTGAAATACATGGGAAACCAAAAAAAAAAAAAAAAAAATTAAGTGAATCAGCTTGGAGACTGCCTTCCAGCAGATATCAGGGGTGCTTCACACAGAACCCCAGCTTGGAGCTGAGCAGATGGCTGCCCCAGCCCTATGGTCCCCAGCTCCAGGAGCATCCTCCCAGGCAGCTTTCATGTGTGATTTACTCTGGTTTCTGCTGCTCCTGGCTATGAACCGGGAATAGGGATACAGCCCTTTGGTGAGCCCATAGCCAGTCCACGCGTCGTGCGCCTGCCCCCGCTGGAGTGGGAAGCTCTTCTGTCCGCTGGGAAGATACAGCTCCACTGGGATGGGAAGGTAATTTCGCAGTTTGCTCTGTCTCTGTCCGTCTTTGGGGAGAGCTGTGGGTGCTAGCGGGTCGCTGGGATTTTAGACACAAAGGAAAAATGTGAGGGGATGCTGGGAGCTAAACCCCATTAGCCCTATTGCTCATTGCATTGCCCGCTGGGGTTGTCCGAACGGGCATGCAGCTTGCAGAGGGCCCTGCCACTGCCTAAGCTCACTTCCCTGCAAAAAGCTGGACCATGCAGCTTGCTTAGTCCTTTCCCAAAACCATTGATGTTTCAAACTCCTTGAACTGGACAACATGTTGTCACATCCTGTCCTAAAGAAGAAGGAAAAGGGAGAATCAAGAGAGTTGGCATCATCTGGCCTCTGCTTGAGAAAGCAGCTGGGCAAAACTCCTTCGATGTATCCAGATTTTGAGCAGCTATAACATTTTGCAAGAGTAAATACAATATGCTTATTTGTAAAGCTCTCCAGGAGCATCTCTGGCTGCCGCATAGGGAAGACAGACTGGGAGCATCATACTGGGACTTTGCCATCGCCTGGGCAAAGGAGATGCCGTCTCCATCTGCTGGGTCAGACACGCTGAAGCTCTTGGATTTGCTCATCTCTTTCCTGTAAGCAGCAAATGTTCTGTGTGTGGTTCTGCATGAAACACGCACTGTTTGTGGCACTACCAAGCTGCTCTCCTAGCTGGTTGTCCAGGGGGAGTGCACATCTCTATCTCACCCTGCAGGGATAGGGTTCTTCCTGGGAAATGAGGCTCAAAGCCATGAGAGTCCTTGAGTCTCACAGGAGGTCCCACTGGGAATTTCCTGTCTTCAGTTCAATGTGGATCTACAGAAAGGAAAAAAAAAATAATTTCCATTAACTTAACTCCTTTATCTTGCCAGGAGGTATTAGAAGAGAGGAATGTTCAGTTTATTGAAAAACAAGCAACATCTCTATTTTCACATGTTATGCACTGTGGTTGCAAAATAAGCTGGAAAGCCTGGAGACTTGAAAAAGAGTTCTTGCCTCCTGATTCTTCATCCAAACACGTGAAATGTTAGTGTTGGCCAGTTAAATGGAGGAACAATGAATCTTTGCATCTCTACAGCATCTTCTGTCTGATCTTTAGCGCCTTTTCTTGATTTAAAGGGCTAAAATAATGGTTGGTAACTCCTAGAGCAAAACCCGGTGTGGGATAAACAGAAGGGCCCTGAATATATTGAACTAAAGGGTTGAGACAGCAGAAAAGTCTGTTGGGAGTTTATAAAAGAGGAATGGCACCATCAGAACAACTGGGTCATTGAACATATTTGGCAGAGAGGTAGCAAATGAGCAGAGGGGGAAGAGGAAAATTTCTGCCAGACCAGCCGTAAACTGGGCTCGGAGGAAATCTTCAACAGGAAGGAGAATGGAGATCTCAGATCTGATGTGGTGGAATGAAAAACATTTTAAACTGGGGAAGAGAGTTAACACTGAGTTAACACTGGACGCGCCGAGTTAAGGCTGCAGATGCTGAAAGGCTTTATGCTGTGTCTGTGCGATCTTACACAACTCTCAGGATATTTGCTGGGAAGATTTCTTTTTCACATGCCGTAATAGTATCAGTGAGATCAATATTTTCAGATCCAAAACGCCAGGTCTCATACTATGAACTAACGTTTGCTTTCTAAGTATCACGTTGGCTTCTGTAAAGCACTTATAATGTAAACGTGCGCTCTGTTTCTGACAAATTGCACAACCGCATCTCTTTCACCAGTTACGTTACCTGAACCTAATCTCTTTCTGAGTAACCTGCTCATGTTTTCTTAGTTCAGTACATGAAGACTTGTTTTAACAAACTGCTATGTGCATAAATGTTAAACAGTAATCTACTCCCAGGGCTTTGGGATTTTACTCTGAACGTTAGGAGCACTGGACTGGGACTGAGACTGGTTTACAAAGTCACCCCAGTACCACGGTTTCCAATCAATAAAACGAAGAATTTTCTTCATTTCACTGTGCACTGTGACTTAAGGCTAAAAAGGGGAGTATAAAAGCCTTCAGGTTTGTTATTTTCCTCTTACACTGCCCTAAATCAGAACTTAACTGAGGACTGAGGGGAGTTTGAGCAGCACGAAAAACACTAAAAATTGGAGGAGACATAAGCCTTTGGTTTTGAGCAGAGTGAGCTGGAAAACAGGGCTACTCATGCACAGGAAATTTTGTCATTTCAAAATGTAGTTTCAGTCTGAATCAGAACAAAACCCCAAGAGTTTCCAAATTCCCCTTGAAATGGAAATTCTGAGAATTTTGGTCTGGAAACGCTGAAGCAGGGTGTTTCTGATACTCACCTCCTGCCCCAGACCTGCCGAGCGAAATCAACTTTCTCGTCAGTGTGCAGCCGTGCTGCCACCAGCTTCCCTGAGGAGGTGGGAGGTTTCCTGGGGACACCTGTGGTGACATCTCCCAGGAGCCTCTCCGAGGATCCCCAGGCTCTGAGTATTGATCTGGGAGCCCTTATCCCTGCTGGATACCTGGGGCATTGCACAGCTGAGTCCTGGAGGTACCTCAGGTGGTTGAAAGGGCTGTGTTAGGAAGATGGAGGAAGATGGAGGCTGTTGGCAGGGTAGAAGAACCAGTTTTGTTTCTTGCAAAAGACCCAAACCATTTATAGAATCATAGAATATTTTGGGTTGGAAGGGACCCCTAGAGGTCATCTAGTCAAACCCCCCTGCAGGGAGCAGGGACACCTTTAACCAGATCAGGTTGCTCAGAGCCCCGTCCAACCTGGCCTTGAATGTTTCCAGGGATGGGGCCTCCACCCGTGCCAGGGTTTCACCACCCTCATTGTAAAGAATTTCTTCCTTATATCCAGTCTAAATCTACCCTGGTTTAGTTTAAATCCATCACCCCTTGTCCTGTCACAACCAGCCCTCCTAAAAAGATTATCCCCATTTACGCAGCAGCACTTTTCCTGGCAGCCATGGACTGCACCCTCCTACCACATGGACCTCTCCATGGTTGGGATGACACCTCCGGAGTCTATTGGCAGAAAGGGTCATATTTGGTATGGGTATGAATACCACAGCTTTAAAAATGAAATCTAGGTAGGGAATATCTTCCCTGAATTTCTTCTGCAGAAAGACTGGAGGAGAAAACAATTAAGAGACCTGGAAATGACTGGTGGAGCGGGTGCTTGCTAGAGTTCTGAAGTCTTTGCTCGCATGCCTTTATGCTCCCCAGGTGAGCACGTATTTGCCCTGCCACGCTGTTTTTCCTATAGACAAGGTAAAAACAAATCTAGAAAATGTGTAGGTCGCTGCAGTGTTATGGCTGTGACTGAGAGGCAGGTCTGTGCTCTTTCGCTGCCTCCCTGCACGCCTTCTCAACCTTGCCTTATGTCTACTGTCTGAATTGTCTAAGACACAGGCCATTTTTGGCCACCAAACAGTGCTTGTGCATAAGATCCCCACCTTTACTATTTTTTATTTGTCATTGCAACCAAAAAACATGCTTAAATTTAAACTTAAGAAATTATTTTGTCTTAGGGTGGCGGGAAGTATTTTTATCAGGTTTGTTCAGCAATGCATTTACAGAGGTGAGTGACAGATTCTGCAAGTCTTCACGACTTCTAGGGCTGGGATCTGGCTTACTTATTGGGACATCTTATAGTAGGTGTTTACATGTGGGGGTAATTCTGCAGGCTGGGCACAAACGAATTGTGCTGCTTGGCTTCCAGCTGTCAGTGCAGAGGAAGATGGGCCTTCCATAGGTCCTGTGTTGCAGCTTCCAGCCCTATATAGATGTCTCCGACACCCCTGGGTGTCTCAGATCATGGTAGTTACCTATCTTTAGGCAACCAGATTGATCTGTAGGTGTTTCCTTGCCAGCTGCTGTCTGAGATCCCAGCAGAGTCAAGGGAGATCCAGTCAATGCAGTCCACGGAGTCTGGAAAACCGTCCAACCAGGGTGGACACCTGCATTTGATAGCCCAGTCTCTCTAGACTCCTCTTTTCTCCACTGCGATGGGACCAGCCCACATGGAGACACCTATATGAAGGCACATACGATGACACATTGCAACGTGCAGGCTGATTACACTGCAGATTCCTGGAAAAACACATATTCTGACACTTGGGTTCCTGGCCATGGTATAGCGCTGTGTGTATTTTCACCCCTTGGGGAGGGTTAGGGTTAAGGGAGCTCCAGTGTCCTTAGATTGTAAAAATCTATGAATTGCTTCCATTATCTATTTTGGAGACATCGCTGCCAGAGATCCTCTTGCCCAAATATTTTTAGTTTCCTCATGCATTTTAAAGGTTAGCTGTGATAGTACATGTGTGATGTGAGCTTTAGCACAGGTCTTTAGAAAAAAAGCCTTCCTGCAACACATCCCTGAGTTTGTCGTACCTTTTGTTAAAATGAGAGGGTAACAGAAAATAAATCATGTATTTTTCAAAGTTTAAATCAATAGCAAGAAGAACAAGCTGCCTTTCAAACACCCAGAACAATTTATCATTATAGTTTATTAGTTGTTCCATGCTGAGAAAACGGAAGTCTACAAAATAAAAACATCAATCACCACATCTCATGTAAAACAAGTAAGAGCGGCCATGGAGGAAGCGCAATAGTGGTGGTGCCCCTTTGGCCACAGCCTCTTCCAGTGGTGGAGTTTTGCTCCCAGGCTGGGTCCTACTGATTTCTAGTTGCTCTCCGTGTGTTGTCTTGAAGGATCAAGTCTCGGACACATTTCCCCTGAGGGCCAACAAGCCCTACCGAGAGGTAAAGTACAGCGCAACCGAGAGTTACAGCCTCCTGATAAAGTACGTACACTGAATCACAGAATCACAGAACGGCAAGGGTTGGAAGGGACACAGCTCCCGTGGCGGAGGTGACCTGGGTTCAGACTCTCTAGGTAGACATTAACAGCTAGGAAAATTAAGCCACGTAATAGTTGTCCAGTCTATAACCCATCATTGCTTACAGGTCTCTTAGCAGCAGTGTGTCTCCCTTCATTTCCAAGAACCAAAGGCAAAATGTGGAGAGAGACCCCGAGCCAACCTGGCTACAGAAAGGAGGAAAAACCCACTGGTGCAGTAGGAGACATATGACTCTGCTCTTGTTATCTGCATAAAAATGTGCGTGCTAGGAGCAGAAGAAATATTAGCTTTCTCCACTGAAATTCCCTGAGCAAGACAAGCCATGCCAGCCTAACTGCAAAGCTTAGGGGGATATGTTAGTAATAAGTAATGTGCATCGACTGAATGAAGCAGAAGAGCTTAGTACCACTGCTGCAGCCTTTAGAGCAGCTGACAGGTGTGAGAACCCATCATCTATTGCAGAAATACAGATTGTTGCTTGCTCCCATACAAAATAACAGCATGTAATAGACCATTACACATTTGTCTTTATAAAGTTATGTAGTACAAATAAGTCCTATTCCAACAGGAATAAAAAAAGGCATGGGAAGTATAAATATAAAGGCTATGGTGTGAGAATAACTCAACAGGAATACAAACCAGTAAAACAATGACACATACACTCTATCACAAAATAGGGAACCACACTAAAATCTCACGTCTCCTGAATTATAATCCCATTTTGCTTTTGTTATATACCATGTAAGCATCTATAGCTAATCTGGTCAATCTGGGCATCGTTTAGCGTCAATGCAGAGAAAGAGGCATCTTTAAACCATGAATCATTTGGCCTGTATCTATCTATCTATCTATCTATCTATCTATCTATCTATCTATCTATCTATCTATTTGTGTGTGTAGATATATGTGGCATAAATAAATGTGCACATACATGTATATATAGGCAATAGGGTGAGATGAACTGCTCTCTGAAGGGACTTGGTCCTCCCCATTTTCTGCCTCAGACATAGATGCTTGCATTTTGTCAGATGAACCCATCCTACCAGGCTAAGCGTGGCTAAAAGGGGTGGAAGACTATTCAAACTTCACAAATTCCCCGTATAATGTAAGTACATGGCAAGTATCGTGTATGCTTGAGTCTGTCCTTAAATGCTTTCTGCGCTAGGTTCTTTGGTGCTCTGCAGCTACAAAAGGAGCTGTCAAATTAATTAACCGCCACAATCTGCAGCATCCTTTTCTGAGCTGTAGGAATAATGTATTAACTGTTGTGGAAGGCGTTAGTCCAAAATAATTGGATAGAGGGGGGTGCATGTGTATACTGAACCACAAGGGGGTCCAGGAAGATTTTCAGCTTATGTGCAGAGGTAAATGGGTTTAATTTCCTTTTCCAAGACGAACAGTGTGAGAAGGAGAAAAGTGTGACTGTGTTTGACCCATCTGAGTAGAGAAGGGACACGGGATGTCAGGTGTCTAGAATCTCTCTTTGTGGGGAAGGTGGTGTGTGGGCTGTAATGACGGTGCCATCATCTAACGTGCTTGGGCGAGCGGTCCATATGTACGCCTGGTCGCTTGGGAGAGGCTGCAGTTATATTAGCAATACATCTGCTATAGGGGAGGAGGAGGAGAAGTGTTTCTGGGCAGCAGTTTCATGCAGGGCTCGTTTCCTGTCTGTCAATGATGGGGTGGACCCCGTAGGTGGAAAGTCACTCTGTCCCCATAAGAATTAAGCCGTAATATTTTCCGCCTCCTTCACACATTAGATTTGAGTGTCCAGGCTTCCTCCTCAATCGCCCCTGCTGGTCTTGTTGTTGCTGGTACAACCTGGTTTCTTCTGTGGCAAGGCATCAATTTCATGAATTCGGGTCTGAACACCGCAATTCCCTGAGAAGTCTTCTCTACAGCAGGAAAAAGGCTTTCCTACAGCTGGGAAGAGGCAGGTTTTCTATGGCTTCTTCTGTATTTACTATGAGAAACCACACAGCACTTTTTGCCGAAGACATCACTTAGGATCTCAGTTACTATTTCATCTGGTATTGGCTATTTCATCACTTGTTCCACCACAGGGCCAGTGCAATGTAGATCATTCTTGCCCATTTTTACCTATCATATTCTCAGAAATCCCACAACGGCCTGGGCAATCTGCACCACAGTTGACCATCTTCATTAAAACATGTTTCAAAACATTGTCTACACTTTCTATGGCTTTATTCTATCATGAACTGGCAAAAAAGCACGACCGATGTGGTTTCACAAGGTCCTTCTCCTTTTCGAGAAAAATCTCCATTCAGCAGAGAACCAGAGCCCATCAGTAATTAGTAAGGAACATGAAGAGAAATGGGGATGAAGATTTAGCAAAGAGAGAGGAGAAAAGGAGAACTCCCAAGTGTCGAATAGGGACATCTTGGATTAACTAGGCTGGGGAGCCTGTGAACGGGAACAGCCTTTGTACAGCTCAGTGTAGTAATAGAAACAGCGAGGAGGCCAGGCTAAAATAAGTCTGAAGTATAAAGTTGTCAGGGCACGACTGAGAAATCAGGGGGATGAAGGAAGAAGAATTACGTGGTCATGGTGGCAGATGCTCCACCAGACTTCCCACAGGTTAGCCAGCGAGAAAAAGACTGATTGCATAATCTATCTGAAACCAACGTATTTGCATAATTAACCTTAATTTCCCCACGGGGTTAATTTTCCACCCATTATTTGAACTGCCATTCTCAGTTCCACAACAGCTGGGACAAACCGTGCTTTTTAATTTCAGCAGCTCTGATCCCTCCTTTTCTTGTGCCAGTATTTAACAGCTGAACCAGGCAACCCAGGGTCATTTATTTAATATCACAGAAGGTATTGAGAAATCTAAGCAGTGCGATAGTGAGATGGCTGATCCGGTTGATACCTCTGCTAGGGATCCCACAGCTAGGGATTTTTTTTTTTTTTTTTTTAGATTTCACATTTTCCTGGTTCCGTCCCACTTACCTTATTCTCTGCTTGGTGAGTCACACAAAGGCAGCGGGAATGATTAGCAGAACAAAAACCATAGCTGTTAAAACAGAAAATCGTCACAGTTAGCACCTGGTTGGATCTGTAATTATTTCAATTATTCCAACTGGGAGAAACAGGCAAGACCTGGGGTAGGGTCCAGAGTTCTTCCATATTGCCCCACTGCTTTGCTCCCTGGGGCAAACAGGACCCAGCCAGTGGGGATCTGGGCAACTAGAATGCAACCATGGCCAAATAACTGGGGACTACTGATGCTGCCATCTCCAGCATAGTTTGCAATACTCCTCCTTCCCTTCCTTTATCTCATTCCATTATTCCTCCTTATTATAATGTGCGCTACAGTTGTCAGCAGACTCCAGCTGGAATCAAGAGCCCTTGTACAAAGTCTTGAGCATATGCACAGTAAAAGACAATTTCTATTTTAGCAGCTAATTGTTGAATGGGAGATGGGGAAGGGGGAGAAGAAAATCTCTTCAGACTGTTCTGAATGCACCAGTTTAGCTGTGAGAAAATATTTTATTTGCCCACCCTTTTTTTACTCTTCTGAAAATGTGAAAGAAACACATCATTTAAATATTTACATTTTTCCTGGGTTTTTCAGTTGAAGTTATTCACTGAATTCACAGAAAGTCTCAGAGAAAGAATCTGAAAATGGCTTCATTTAAAAACGAGAATTTTGGTTTATATATTTTCTTCTACATCCCTTACGAGTCTTTGAAAACCTCTCTGTAAAAAGTGTAAGTGCTTAAACAGTATGTTTACACTTTCTTTACTGACTTCTCACCCAATACGTGGACACAGATGTGTCTTGCCATATACTTATCAGTTCTTATAACAGAGATGGGTCTCTTTGGTAGAACAGCGAATTGAAAGGCAAAGTAACTGCTCTGGGGGAATGGGTTGAAGTCCGAGTCCAGTTAACAAAATGACATACCTGTCACTGGCAGTATCACAGATGAGGAAAAGGGTGGATGAGTCGAACCTACAAAAAGAGAGAAAATCTTGATTTTTGCATTGATTTGCTCTTCTGGTGATGAGCATCAAAGCAGTGATGAGGACAGAGTCAGGTTAGGTCTGACAGCTCTCCCTTTGCATAGAGACTTAAGTGCCATGTTTTTTTCTTGGCCATCAGTAGATGTTTCCAGCCTGGATATCAACATATGTGCTGAGCTGATACCTGGTAATGGTGGGCATGAAGTGAACTGTATCTTCCAGGCAATGGGATCCAGCCAAGGTCTTTATTTCATATGAGACTGAGAAGGATGACTTTCAAGGTGCCAAGCTAGGATTTGGAAACATGGCTTCAAACAGGACCTCTTTTTCCCCGGAAATGTAACACCAAACTTCCCTGGTGCAAGAAATTTATTGAATTTCTCCCTTATCCTGAAAAGGAAGCTCTGAACTTGAGCCACTGTGAGATAAGAGCAGGTTTTTAACAAGAGGTCCTGGAAGAGTGGTGTCTTGATAAATCTCTTTGTGTTGAATGCTGGGGTGAGAACTGAGAAAGGGGAGGATATTCCTTATCCAGCCCCATTAAACACATCGTATCATAACAAAGAGAAAGGCAGTACTTGGGGGAATAAATATTTGGTTTACTAATTACAAAGATCTGACCTTGCTCAGCTTTGAGTGTACTTTTGCAGGAAACTGGAATTATTGTTCTGTTGAACTGAAGGCCAAGATGGCCTATTTCATCATCCAGTCTCAAGTTTTTCATGATTAGAAATTTAAAATTTCAAATATTTGTAATCTCTGACTATTCAATAGGTTGTATCATTTTCTAGGACTGCTATGTTGACGGGGTTTTTTCCATCATAGCAAGAAGGTCCTTCATCCTGATAGTACCAAGGGAAACTATCAATGGAAAAAAAAATTACTGTCCTGAAGGAGGAGGAAAGACCAAACAACAAATTGTGGCTGCTGTACCTGGAACACTCTGAACTGGGCACCACAGGGAAACAGGCAGATCTATGAAGAAAGGGAGAAAGTCCTGGATTAATGCTGAAATAGTGTGTCCAGTGAGTAAAGTGATTCATTCTTACTGTCAGAGCAGCAACGAGAGGCAACAATGATCACCTGAGAGGTCACTCTGCAGGCAACATCCTCATCTACCACATGGCCTGGTATGGGTCACAAAGGCTAGCATTCATCTCACCTACCGTTACGTAGATGTGGCCTCTGAGATAGTCACCTGAGCTCTGCTATAGCCACTGGGGAGAAACAAGCCTTTAAAGGGTGCAATTCATCTCACACTAAAATAGACTACTGAGACAGGGCAGCTAACACAGCACCATCAACACCTATTCCCCTCTGTTGGTTATAAAGGCAGTCCAGCTCAAATGTGGGCATCTATGAAGCAGATGTCTACAGTTCTGCAAGATTAATTTCCCCTTAAAGGCCCAATTATTGGTGAAAACCATTTTTTTTTCCACTCTCTGTTGGTAGGAGAAGTCTTCTTGTGTTGACCTTGCATTGGCTCCCACCTCTGTAAAAGTCAGCCCTATCTCAGAGGAGCTTGGGAAGGTAATGAAAGCCTGAGGACTGTGGAGGTGGTGGACATCTGGGTCCTTCCACCTACAATAGCTCTGCCTGCCACTCAGGGAGGGCCCAAGACCCTCAGTGCTATCACAGATACTTGGTTGTCTTTTTATTGAACTCATTAATTGCAAAGTCAGGAGAGATGCCATCAGAAAAGGTAGGTAATTCGGGGTAGAGGCCATGAAGGCCTTTTTTTTTTTTTTTTTTTTTTTGGCATTAACCCATCTAAGGGCATAAAAGCAAGAAACAGAGGTTCTGCAGCCTCACTTGAGAGGCCTGCTGGCTCCATGGGCGCAATAGTGGTGGGCTTTTTGCTGTCTCCTTGTTCAAAACAGCATCCTGGCTGTTAAATCAAGAGCTGAGACACATCACTCATTTTTAGCTATGGACTGGCTAAACTCTGGATCCTAAAACCCTCAGCAATCATGAGGGATGCTTAGATATAACTTTTGGAGTACCTTACTGTGAAGTGGCAACAGAAGATTACAGTGATAACAGGAGGAAGGAGAAAAGAAAAAGGCTTATTCTACTATTTTCTTCCCAATATATGATAGTGTGGCTCTGTCTGCTCACAAATTCCTGCAAATTTACAGTTAGCATGAAAGCACACCCAAGACAAAATAGGATGCAGCCATGACCTCCCCAGAGGTGTCATCTCCATCAGAGGTGACATCCCCATCAGTGTCAGAGCCCTGAGGTTGCTGATCTCTCCATCCCAGCCCCCAAGCAGGTTGCTCCCTAGGATTGATGCTCTGAGCTGGGGGGTCTGAGCCCTGCATGAACAAGTCATGACACCGATGTGATGCCAAAGCAACCATCTTACCTGGCTCAGTAGTCTGTGGCAGCCACTTGGTGCTATAGCTGCTGTCATTGATGCATTGCATGTCAAGGGGGGTCCAGATGATTTTGCCATTCACCTTCTCGCACCTGCGGGTGCCAGAGGTGGGGTGTTGCTTATCATAACCGCTCTGGCATTTGAAATGTAATACTTGTCCCACGTAATACTGTTGGGTCTGGCTTAAAGAGGCATGTGGCATAGTCTTGGGAGGACCACAAAAATCTGTGGGATCACAAAGCAGCACACGGTTAAATCAGATGATAGATTTTTACCTGCTTCTTCTGTTCTTGAAACAACACGATTTGTATTCTTACGAAATATAGGCAAGCAGGATATACCAAGCCTTCCTAACTGTTTCTTTGGATATAAAATACTCATTGGCTTACACCATATCACTTGTTCAGCCAAGATATTATAGCAATTGCTTCTTTCTCTCTGTCTGTCAAAATAATTAAAAATGACCCATCATTCTTATCCTGCTTCCATGGAAATCAGTGGGAGAAAAGTTACAGTCATGAATGGGCTCTTACTTACATTTCTGGTCAAACTCTGAAAGGTTGCCTTGCTTCTGGGGTGCAGGGCTCTGTGTTTTTCTTTCTGGCTCCTGTGTAACATTTAACTGTATTGTGGGAGCCGTTGACAACAAAGTTTTCTTATCTGTGGGAAAAGTTGTATTTGCTTAATTACAGCAGGACGAATAGCAGAGCAAAGCCAAAGCACCCAAACTTTTAGAGGCAGGATAGAACTGTTGCAAGTTCTAATTTGCAAAGATAAGTGCAAAAGATCATTTGTTAGAGCCGTGCCCAGATGCATCTTATACTGACTCATTGGAAAAACATCTATACAAGTGTAGGAAAAGGACCATGATCACTTACCAATGCATTCAAATTCCCTGTAGACCCAAGCAGCAACCTGGTGTGTTTTCTTACACAGAATCCCCATGTACTGGCCACTTTTCCTTGTGTAGCCACTGTCGCATTCATAATACAGTTTGGTCCCCAGTGGATACATTTCAGCAGTAACATCAGCAAATTCAGTCGTTGGAAGATCTGGGCATTCTTCTGCAAACAGAAGTTCTGAGAATCAGGACAGCCTGGGTAGCTACCTTATTCACCAAGGACTTGCCACACCTTTCTGTCTTATCAATACCAGTTGATGCCCAGAGCTCAGTGAAGTCTAACTCTGCTCCCAGCCACAGGGCTAAAATCACAGCTGAGGCTTGAAAGCGGATGTCACAAAGGGAACATGAGGGTAGCAAAGCTTTGTTTCTTTGATTATCTTTCATCCAAAGAGAGGCTCGGAGTGTCTGGCAAAACTATTAGCTATTTTAAGTGAACATATTTATTTTAACTTTAGAACAATCCCGCCTTCCAAAGCCTTCTTCACATTGGAGTTAGTTGTTGCCATTGATTTGGTAAATACAGATTTGTTCAGGATGCAGGAAAAACCCTTGGGCTTGTCTCCACCAAGTGATGTGAAGGCTGTATTTGTCTACGCTTTTTCAGTTAGGAGGGGCTGATTCGCCTCCCTTGTATTTCATCCAGAGGAGAAAAGATGCTGGAGCAAGGATGTTCTGCAGCAGCTAGGAGTGGTGGTGGGAGGCATCAGGTCCATCTGCCTGCTCCTGCCCCCCTTTCTTTCTGCACCCAGCAGATGGGCAACATGAAACGCTACCAACATTTTCTTAATGAAGCCATACACGATCATATCATAGAGCCGCTGCCTGCACCAGCGAGGCATACTAAGCAAAACTGAGTCATTAAAATTTGCAGCCATCTATAAGCAAACATTGGAAAGGGGAGCAGACTCACAGTTCTGTCTGAGCACACCAAGGAGCAACTTACTGTGAAATAAGTTTGTAAACCTAAATATAACTTGTCCCAAAACAAGGACGTGAAGTGCTGTGTCATCAGCAAATCACATCTAAATATACTTCTCAATCATTTGGAATGAATTAAGTTAGATCATTTCAGTGCACTTGAAAAGCCCACTGAAGCTGAGAGCCAGAAGTTGATAAAGGCACTACTTAATGATTATTTAAAGACTAAAGGCTGAGAAATTCAAACACAAAACAGGCTGGCTGCATCAGGGCTGCAATTTGTGATCTTTGGGTGCATGATCTGTGGCCCTTTATACTTACACACAGCAATAACAGTGATTATGAGTAAAATTTCTTAGTCACCATGGCTTCACATTTCCTGCAGCCATTTTCATAAAATCACAGAATCACAGAATGGTTGGGGTTGGAAGGGACCTTAAAAATCATCTAGGTCCAACCCTTCTGCTGTGGGCAGGGACACCTTCCGCTAGAGCAGGTTGCTAAAAGCCCCACCCAACCTGGCCTTGAACACTTCCAGGAATGGGGCAGCCACAACTTCTCTGGGCAACCTGTGCCAGTGCCTCACCACCGTCCTCATAAAAAAATTCTTCCTTATATCTAATCTAAATCTACCCACTTTCAGTTTAAAGCCATTACCTCTCACTCTATCACTGCATGCCCTTGTAAAAAGTCCCTTTCCAGCTTTCTTGTAGGTCCCCTTCAGGTACTGAATGGCTGCAATCAGGTGCCCCCAAAGCCTTCTCTTCTCCAGGCTGAACAACCCCAACTCTCTCAGCCTGTCCTCACAGCAAAGGAGCTCCAGCCCTTGAATCATCTTCGTGGCATCCTCTGGACTTGCTCCAACAGGTCCACGTCCTTATGTTGGTGGCCCCATTACTGAATGCAGTACTCCAGGTGGGGTCTCACAAGAGTGGAGTAGTGGTGGAGAATCATGTCCCTCAACCTGCCTGCCACATTTCTTTTGATGCAGCCCAGGATACGGTTGGCTTTCTGAGCTGCAAGCACACATCGCCAGGTCATGTTGAGCTTCTCATCAACCAACACCTCCAACTCCTTCTCCTCAGGGCTGCTCTTAATTCATTCTCCGCCCAGCCTGTATTTGTGCTTGGGATTGCCCTGACCCATGCACTTGGCCTTGTCAAACTTCATGAGGTTCCTAAAGACCCACCTCTCAAGCCTGTCAAGGTCAATCTAGATGGCATCTCTTCCCTCCAGCACGTTCACCGCACAACACAGCTTGGTGTCGGTAGCAAACTTGCTAAGGGTGCGCTCAGTCCTGCTGTCCATGTCACCAACAAAGATGTTAAACAGCGCCAGTCCCAACACTGACTCCTGAGGAGTGCTACTCATCACTGGTCTCCACTTGGACATCAAGCCATTAACCGCAACTCTTTGAGTGCGACCATCAGCCAATTCCTTACTCACTGAGTGGTCCATCTGTCAAATCCATGTCTCTCCAATTTAGAGACAAGGATGTTTTGCGGGACAGTGTCAAATGCTTTGCATAATTAATGCAACCTTAGCATCCAGCAAGAATGACTGTGAAAGGGCCTTGAATCCCTGACAGTTGTTCATCATTTGGCGTCTGCCCTTGACTCCCAAAGTGACGCCTTCTTGAAACAAAGCCATGCTTTGCCAACAGCAGCCCAGTCAGTGACTCCCAGACCCCGTCCTGCAACGACTTTTCTTTCAGAGCCACCCATCATTTTCTTGCTTTGATATTTTCTGCCCTTTTTACTTTTCATTATCTTGCCGCTTTGTAAAAGTCACAAAGCTTGAGGAAGGCAACAAGGAAAGGTATTGTGAATATCTTAACAGCTAAGGCATATTTTAATCCCCTTGTGTATTTGTGTTATCGAAGGATTCACCTTGTAAACTACATCAGACTGTGGCTTCGAGAGAAGCGACTGTACCCGAAATAGTTAACCACATGGTTTACCACAGACTGTCAGGGTGATTAAAATTAAAGAGTTATCAGATTAGCAGCAAGTTGAGATCACGTACTCTCACTTTCCCTGAAAGCTAAAAGCATGTTTCCCTCAAGACTTCAAAAGCCTCTTTGAAGCAGACTGCAGATCTGAATCTCAGCACAAGGCACTCAAACCTACAACTCTTTAGTCTCTTCTTAAGAAAACCCACAGCATTTAGCCTACTCATCATAAAGGGCAACTGTTGTTTTAATTGATGATTAAATGAAGTCAGGGTTCTTCTGAACTTGCACGCGTCAGATAAAGATTGTGTAGAAATGGTGTACACGGGTGACAGTGAGCAATACCCATCAGGCTGGCACTCTTGGATCAACTCATCCACATTGCAGCTGGATCTCAAGCAACACTCCTAGGATCCAGCCTTTTCATTTCATCCACATCACTCAAATTCTTGTCTTCTCACATCTAAACCACTGTAGTAGCCTGAAGAAGGGCTTCTACAGGTATGTCAACGAGAAAAGGAAGGCGTACCCCCCCGATGAACAAGAATGACAACCTAGCATCAACAGATGAGTAGAAGGCTGAGGTACTCAATTTTTTTGCCTTAGTCTTCACTGGTAACCTCTGTCCTCATCCCTCTCAAGTCTATGGATCACAAAGATGGAGACTGAGGGGTAAAGCCCCTCCCACTGTAAGGGAAGATCAGGTTTGTGACCACCTGAGGAACCTGAACATACATAAGTCTATGGGACCTGATAAGATGCATCCCAGAGTCAGGAACTGGCTAATGCGCTTGCCAAGCCACTCTCCATAATATTTGAAAAGCCATGGCAGTCAGGTGAAGTCCCTGGGGGCTGGAAGAAGGGAAACATTGTGCCCATCTTTAAAAAGGGTTGAAAGGAACACTCTGGGAACTACTGACCTGTCAGCCTCACCACTGTGTCTGGGAAGATCATGGAACAGATCCTTCTAGAAGCTATGCTAAGGCACGTGGAGGACAGGAAGGTGATTCAAGACAGCCAGCATGGTTTCACCAAGGGCCAGTTCTGCTTGACCAACCTAGTGGCTTTCTGTGATGGTGTGACAACAACAGTGGACAAGAGAAAACCAACAGACGTCATCTATCTGGACTTCTGCGAAGCCTTCAACATGGTCCACCACAACATCCTTCCCTCTAAATTAGAGAGGCATGGATTTGATGGGTGAACTGTTTGGTGGATAAGGAATTGGTTGGATGATCACATTCAGAGGGTAGTGGTCAACAGCTCGATGTCCGGACGGAGACTGGTGACAAGCAGTGTCCCTAATTTCCTAGGTCTCATGGTGACCTTCTGTTTGCTTCCCTCTCTTGACTTCTAACTGCTTCACCATCACATCAAATATTTTTCTCACATCTTTAAGAACCTCTTCCTTATCCAGCACCATAACTTTTCAAAACATTGGCTCCTCTTTCCATGCTAAACCTCCTCACCAACATGTTTGATATCAGCTCTGGGGTTTATTGCTGTACCAGTCCTCATACTGGGAGGAGCCACGCATGAATATGGAAATTTCAAGATAACCATTGCCATTATTCCTCTTCATTGTCTTTAAGTATCTTATATATCTTCAGAGGTGCTTTTCTTTAAGTGGTCTTTTACCCATCTTTCAAGAGCAGGTAGGCACCCAGCATGCTAATCAGTATTCTGTACTTCCTTGCCTTTGATAAGTTTTCTGAGACCTGCAAGCCACTCCTTGTCATCTGAACCACAAGATTAGGTGGAATTCCTGCTATTCCTGCTATTCCTGCTTAAGTAATGGTGCCTGATGCCATCTGATGTGTCTTAGGGCATCTGGGACCTCCACATAAGCTGTCAGATATCACCTAGGAGTTACTGGAGCCTCGTGCCAGGCAGAATACTCTGCCATGCCGTCTTTTGAGAGTTCATTGACATGTGCTAAATAAAGCTTAACTGCCTTGGGTTACCCTCAGCATCTAGCATCACTATTTAGGCTTAGTGGAAAGAAACCCACGAGCTAAATCACCATCAGTTCTTTCAGTGCTTGGGTTTCTTCCCTGAGGTTTCCCATTCAAATACGTTACTGACCCAACACAAAACTGCTCATAGCAGACCTGCTGGCAGCATAAGGATTTATGAAGCTCTCCTACCTATTTCTCTTCCCTGTTGTCTGAGTTAGACTAGGCATCAGCACACACCTTTTGTCCAGAAGAATTGAACAGGGAAAATTTATAACAGGTATTTTTAGTATGAGATGAACACAGACCGTGAGTCATGCCACAATAACCTAAACG